CCCCATGGGGGTTGAATTTATCAAAATCCTATTTAAGCGGACGTCTTCATCATAGTAGCTCCAATCTTTAATTTCAGTTCAATCAGTCGAAAATCTAAGAAGATTTATACAAACTTTCATCCCCTATTTTATCCCCTTAGGGGTGGAATTTATCAAAATCCTTTCTTAGGGGATGCCTACGTCATAGTAGCTTTATGCATGCAAAGTCTCAGCCCGATCGGTTTAAAATTGACAAAGTTTCATACAAACTTTCATCCCCTATTTTATCCCCTTGGGGGTAGAATTGATCAAAATCCTTTCTTAGCGGATGCCTACGTCATAACATCTACCTGCATGCCAAATTTCAGCCCGATCCGTCCAGTGGTTTGGGCTGTGCGTTGATAGATCACTATGTCAGTCAGTCACTTTTGAGTTATATATATTTAGAGATACATTTTAAGCCACAACAACGCGTGGCAGGGTCTGCTAGTTTAGAAATAAATATAATAGATGTCCTATTTGAAGAGTTTGAGGATTGTAAAAATTCCCGTTGAGTAGGAATGTCCACTATTCGGCAGTGTCCGTTAATGGAAGTTTCACTGTACAGTAATACCCCGACTTACGCGAATCCGGAGTTACGCGATTTTCAAATCTCGTCGATTCGTCTTTTGTTTGAGCGCCACGCAACTCTTAATTACTCATTTCCCCCCACACTATTGTTCGGCTTACATATTCAGACGTGTTCGACATATAGCTACAATTTATTTTGTGTTATTTGTATGTATTTATATGCAAAATTATACCCCGACTTACGCGGTTATCGCTCGGTCCCACCTATCGCGTAAGTCCGGGGTAGGACTGTATTATGATTTCTTGTTTACAGATCTGACATAACTTTGGAATTGTAGTTTTTAGCCAGAAAAGATTTCCAGAAGCATTTTTAGAGTGAGAAAATATCAACATTTAAGTCGCCTTTTATTTTATTTATAATTCCTCCTTATACTCTTACGAGATTAGAGCATTCTGTTCTAAAGGTTATCGTATTTTATTAATTTTTTAATGGATAAAACATTCATTTGTAACTAAAATGTCTATCTCCACGTTTTGAGACCTCCTGAATACAAAAAATTTAAAAAATCCGTGGATGTGCGTGTTGACGTCTATTTCGCTTAGAATCTCATTAATGTTTAAATTAAAGAACGAAATTTGGCATGGTGGTTTGTATATGAGGGACGTTGATGCTATTAAATTTTAGTGAAAGGTCGTTTGTAATAAAAACTCACAACAGCTGGGAAGGTTACGCTACTCTCGTTGCTAGATGTTTTTGGTATCTATTCGTACCATAATTACTGACTTTCAGTTGTTGTTTCTTCTAATTTTTCAATTACGTGATATACTGTCTATACAAATTATAAAGCATCTTTATTACTCTCTAGAAGTGCAAATTGACAAGATACATAATTAAAAATGAATAAATGATGTTAAAGAATTCATTAATTATCTCAATAATTTGTAAAGAAGAAAATATGTAAAATGAATACATATTCACAAAATTAATAAGCAATTTTATGAATGTAGAGTGATGAATGTTTTGGAAAATTTCCAAAATATAACAATAAATATATTAAAGTATGATAATTATTTTAGTAACTATAATTCATTTATCATAATTCATGTAAATAGAAATTTAATTAAGTGGTACTCTGATAAGTAGTTTTTTAAGCTATTGATTGTTGTGCATCTGATTCAAATATAATGAAAACTATATCAGACAATTATTATAGTTTATTGTATAATAACTATTCTAAATAGATTTTTAGAATCTTTCCTCTATAGAAGAACTTTATGCAACCAATTTATGTCTATTGTCTATAATCATAAAGAAAAAAATATTTCTCTGAAATTTTAGTTGACAATCTTGGTGATTTTTGCTTATAATTTTAGAAATATTCAAAATATTGACAATTAATAAAATTCTTTTGGTGCAGAATTATCAGTTTGCATATAATGGTAATTTTTATACAATTATTTTTTGATAGTAAATATGAATAAAGATTAGATTCAAATTTAAAATGATTTCCACTTACTTATTTAAATAATAAACCATATGAAAAATATAAAAGCATAATTATGAATTTTTAAAAATTAATTTGTTATATTTGTATAACTGATATATGTTTTGAAAAATATTTAGTAAAAATATTCTTAGTTAAGCATTTTAATTATAAAATTACAATTCCTGTACAACAAACTAACTAAAAATAAACAAGATTTAAAAACAATTTTAAATGATCATTTGACAGTTATAATTTATTTACTATGTAATGTTACATACAAAATCTATAGTTGTAATGGAGGTAAGCCAAGTTTAGCACAAAGTGCATTTGCTTCAGCAATCTTATCATCTCTGCTTTCACCTCTTCCCGAATCTCTTCGTTCTCTATCATCTGGATCGTTTTCTTTTTCCCTTCGACTGTGTTTACTTGATTTTTTCTTATGTCCTAGATTATTGTTAATTTTGGATAAATTTTAATATATTAATAGAATTATAGATTATATATTAGAATTATATATTTTACATGTTTTTCAATTATTACCTGTTGATCTTGATCGATGTCTTCTGTTTTTATCACGATCTTTTTCCCTCTCTCTGTCTCTTTCTTGAAAACGACTCTGACGCTGGTGTCTTTCTCTGGATCTTGATCTTCTTCGAGAAGAATGCCCTCGTTTGTGAGGAGACCTACTTCGACTACGTCTGTGACGAAGTGGAGAAAGATTTCTCTTATTCTTATCATCGTCTCTTTTTAAATGAAGTGGAAGACGTCTATCTAACGTTAAGCTTCTTCTCAGGTCCTATATGAATAATTCATTGATTATAACAATATTTAAATTTTATAATAGTATTTTTCATCTTTTTACCTTATCGTCATCTGATTCAACATCATAAAGATCATCATCCAGAGCACTAATTCTTGGTTCTAAATAATTACACTTTTCCAAAACTTGTCTTTTCTGAATTCTTGGTAGAAAAATATCACAAACTCTTTCTTCATGTAATAGTTCATGAATAAATTGATCCATACGAATTATTTCCAATGCTATAATATATATTAATCAGTTATATTAATTAATATTTTTAAAACTGATCAAGNAATAATTTCAGTGTTTGAATAATTCCAAGTATTTAACATAATTCATAGTACTGAAACTAATTTTCATTTTGAAATTTTATAATTTATGAGTGTTTAAAACTTAGCTTATTTCATATTTAACATCTCACCCTAAAAATGAAGGAATCGTAAAACTTTCCTCCAATAAATTTGAAAGCATTAAAAATTTTTAAATACATTCTCAGATAATGATATTTGGAAAAAAGAGTTCCACGTAACCATATATTTTGGATTATTCGTTATGTTTTTTATTTCGTCCCCAAATACTGTACATAAAAATTTTATCATCTAGCGAACATATTACAGTAAAATCTGCGTGAAGCGGAACACCCTTGGGGGAAACCCGAAAAAGCCAGAAAATTCCAGTTATTTTGACATAACCATCAAATTTTTATTCAAAGTATCCCGTATAAGACAGAATCTACGAGAAGCGAACAAAAGCTGTGTTAACCAGAGTTAACTATTTATTATATACTTAACTCTGGTAACTCTGTCTTTGAAGTAATGTTGATAAACAGTAGATAAACTTGCCTGACCATGTTTAAAATAAACAAAATAAATCATTGTCGAGTATGTATTTTACAAAATAATTCTTTCAAATAACAATTTGGAGTGCTTATAATATTTTATTTATTTTAAAAATTATTAACTTTTAATTACTCAAAACAAAACAGTAATGTTTCGTTTCAATTTATATATGGCGTATTACAATAAACATATATTTTAAATAATAATTTGACTAAAAAATTAACACCAAATTTATAAAATAATTATTATACTAATAAAATTATGATTATATTTGGATATTCATTCACGTTACATAATAATGAATTCTGACCCTAATGAAATATTTAAGAAAATATTCTTAGGAGTGCTGTACACAACACTGGCATAACGTGTTTCATATTCATATATAATACGACTAATTGGGCTGCAATTCGAAAAAATTGTAGCCCGTCCGTCTCTCCTCAATCTCGAGAAAGGAATTATATAGATGAAAGTCAAAACCAGATATAGAAATCTTCGGAAAAGCGGGCTTCGATATATCAACTTTCGATATAAACCGAAAGTCATGTTATTTCAATTGAAAAATTTTCCCCCTGAAAGTAGTTAATAGATGATCGGCATGACTCTATTGCTAACAGGAAAGTATGATCTACAGGGACAAGACACTACTTACTGACTACTAATTTGAGATGAACAGCATATATTTTAAATTAAATAAATTAAAAAATATGACGAAAAATTGCAGCTCAGCATCATTGTGACAATGTCGCAATAAGTAATCGCTCGTTTTCTTTACGAGAATATTTCCTAAATTTTCCAGTAAATATATATTTTCACAGAATAAGGCAAAATTTATATTTGCTAACAACACATTACACTCATATAAAATATTTTAATGTATTTAAATCATTTATGTTCTCGATTTAGTCTCTTCAACAGACTCGTACATGAGAATCTCTATACATTTAAAATATTTTTACGAAGAATCAACACATTCAGCAATGGAAATTTTTGAAAACAAACCTGTCTGGTAAATTAAATGATATGCTTGGTAGAAAATTTTCAGAACTTTATTATCTCCATACATTTTTTCTAATCTCACTTTTACATAATTCTGTAATTTGATTAAATAATATTTTGTTATTAACCAATAAGTAATTTGATTTATTAACGTTTATTGTTTACAGCAAGTGAATAGAATTTTCTTTAAATCCTTTAACGTTGTGAAATAGAGTCTACATTACATCTATTATTATTTCTTACACACGAGAAACATTTTTTTAGAGTCTTGAATGAATAGTGTAGTCTTAAGGAACTTTAACATTATGATTTGCATTTAGATCATTATAGATAAAAGTTTATTCAAGAAAAACCAAAGCTTTAATTTGGATTTTTTCTTACAGCTGTGGCAATTGTATGTATATAAATGTATTTAAAAATTTTTAATGCTTTCAAATTTCACGTTAGAATTATTATTGGCATATTTGTTTTTATATACAAAGTATATTGACAGTCAAAACTTTCTCTTAAGAATGCGGCGCATGCTAAGCAAGCTCAGAGAATTTGCCCCTGGTTGTATCTATAGTTGTTAGTAAAAATCACATCTCAAAAATCCAGTGTTTCGTTAGTTGAATTTGCAGACACGTGTCAAAAAACGACATGAGCAGAAAAACTACAGAAAAAAAAATGAAACTAGTTATGAACGGGATGGTGCACGAAGATCGAGTTACGAAGGTGATTTGCTAGCATCTTTAAGGGGTGAAAAATGTGTTCGATTTCTTGCATTTATAATATCTTTTATGATTTAGGCTACTAATAAAAATCGATATAGGAATTTGTCTACTTTGTAGTTATCAAGTAGGTGTAAATTTTTGAACATTTTTGATATTTTTAAATAAATCTAATGAAAATTACACCTAAGCCGCCATAAAGCTGTTCAGACCATAAATGATGTCATAAATGCTTGAATACGGCATAACTTCTCACACTTTAATATGGCCGGCAAATTTCCTTCGGTTACGATGTCGGAACCGTTTTAAGTTTATTTTTCGTTACTACTGTACTACAATTCTTGAACAACTCGGGAAAAGTTATGGTTTCTTGGTACCGTAAGCTTAATTCCAACAATAAAACAAAGTTTAATAACATTAATATGTATGACGATAAGCGATGATTGACGACTTTACCAGATTAGTGTTTTCTAACAGATAAAAACAGAACAATAAGCCTACCCTTTTACTATCTGCTCTCTCTCCATTCATATTTTCAGTGTCTTTATTTGATGCCTACGGTAAAAATTCGTCCTCCGAAATAGTATTTGAACTAATTCTTTTAGTTTTAAAATATTTTGTACGAAATTAATTCTTTCGGAATTTTCAAGGCGCGACTTAACGTTTTCGTGAAATTGGTTATGGACGACGGCGTAGGTTATCTATATCTATACTACTATATAGAGAACGTATTTTTCGTTTGTGACCACTAACCGTGAAAACTACTGAACCAATCGTTACCAAATTTTAACTGTAGCATCTTTATGACTCCCGGAATGTTTATCACTAATCAAACCTGCAGATTTTTTATTAATTAAATAAAACTACAATAAATATCATCTAGGGTTAAGGCTTTTAGGTCCAACAGATGGCGCTTCGAGTATGACGCCCTAAGTTTGCTTTTCTATGAGGATAAACTAAAGCAGATCATCTGCTATCTATCTATATAAATAAAAATGTAATGTTCGTTTGTTCTTACCAATTCCTTTGAAATTTTCACACAACGCTGCATTCGAATACACACGTGTTTTTATAATATACATGTCGAAATTCCCCCATTGAGGGGAGATAAACAGGATTAAGGCTTACCGTAAAGAACTCTGCTTCTATTTTTATTTTAAATGCAATTTTTTGCGTTTTTGATTGCGTTTTAATAGGGTATGTCAACAGAATATACACTAAAAAGAAATTTTTTAATATTCCCCCTGTGAGGAAGAGAGACAGAATTAAGGTTTACCTTGAAGAACTTGGCTTCTATTATACTATTGTAGATGCGGGTTTTTGCGTTTTTGATTGCGTTTTAATAGGGTACGCCAAGAGAATGTACACTAAGAAGAAATTTTTCGGAAAATTCCCCTTCCACACGGGGGAAGTGTTATACATTTATAATAGACTAGCTTTTGCCCGCGGCTTCGCTCGCATTAAGAAGTATTATTATTAATTAAGTATAGTTTTTGCGGCTTTACTTTTGTTTAGCGTGTGTAAAAAATTAGGGCCTACAAAACTTTTTTGTACACAATATTCTTAAGTAATCTGTCATTAGGCGCTAAAACTATCAAGCTATTGGGTGAACTTACTCGTGAGCAAGCAACATAAAACTGTCCATGAGAGAAGCAAATGCAATCCAAAATATGCCAAGAAAAGAACAGCCAAAATCGTCAAATATAATCCGCTAGAAATATTTAGGTATAGTATGTACTATTAGATACGGCGGCCACTCATCATCGGGTATATGTAACTCAGTGAAAACACAACGATAGCGCGTTTTAAAATACTACTAACGCCATCTATTGTCAACATTTAGAACTAAAAATTATTTTGTTCGTCTTA